ATAAATTATTATAAATTTTATTAAGATATTAATAATAAACTAGTAAAAACTAGTAAACATAATGGAAATTAATTTAAATAATTAACTTAATTTAACTTAGCATATCTAAAATTAACTAAAACTAATATAAAATAATTTATAGCATTTCGCTATCATCAATTGTTGAAGTTTTATATGTTTTCAAAAGCGTTGAAAAGGATTTTGGTACAATTAAACATTCTGATCTTAAGTGTTCTAAAATATCATTACCACAACGCCTGTTAATCCTGTGTTTTTTAAATATAACAGCTAATTTTTCACAAGTGTTTTTAGTTTTTTTATTTTCAACATCCTTTGTTTCGTTTCTTAAACAACTTTCACTGGAATTATTGTCTTCAATATTAATATCAATATATTTTCCAGGAACTAAGTCAATATTTAATTTGTTTTGATTTAATTTCTTTTTTTTAATATTTGATAGTTTAATGATTTTGTTTCTTTATTCATTTTGATTTTTTTAATATTTATTTCACAAATGTTTATTTACTACACTTCAAAATTATTGCGTCACTTCATTTATAAAACATAGCGTCATCTGAGGCAAAATTCAAATACGTTGCTATGAACACTAAAAATGAGAGTGAAAGCAAAGAAAAAGTATTTACATTCATGTTTTGAGCAATTATTTTGCAAATTTGCTTGAACATGCGGACGCGGTATCAAAGACCGTCTTGAAGACAATGTCTTCGAAGACCACTTTTTCTACTGGGAATTCATGACTTTTTTTTACAGAGGCAAATTACATGTCTGTATGTTTCTATGCTTTTGGTGATAGTCTGTGTAGTCCTTGTATATACTTTTATGTAAGACTTTTGTTTAAATATATACATAAGGAGTTAATGATTTGACTAGTGATGAAGTATTTAGTATCAGTTTCTGCTTAAAATAAAATTTAAAATCAGACCAAATTAGCATTAATTTTTAGTGACAAAATTTTTTCATATCTAAGCTCTTATTTAGAGGTGGACGAAAAATTGCTTTGGTAGATGTATTGTCAAATGGTTTTATGAACAATATGAGGAAATGGCAAGTCTGACTATAAGAAATCATACTTTCAATTGAATGCTAAATTAGCCAATTTGTGATGAAAAAAATATGAGTAAAAATTATATAGTCTAAAACTACTTCAGTTTAGATCAACGACTTAAAACGCTAATAGAGTGAAGTAATCATTGTCAATGTCATATACCCATATATAGGACACTCATATATATTATCATATGTCCAATAAGTTTCAGTTATTGTCATTTCCCCGAAGGCAGCGTCTTGTGAAGCTGTGAAATGTGTCGTCATAGTTATCTTTATTAATGACAAATTAATTAAGACATCACAAGAACTAAAAGTGCAAGCATCGGATTTTGAATAACAATGGATATATAACAAAAAATAGCAAAAATTATTCAAAATCTTATACATTTTTGTTACGAAGATTAAAAGTTTAATTGAATAAGATGCAGATTTTGCAAAAATCTTTTTGGATGGCGTGATATTGAGTATTGTAAAATGCAAAAACTCTTTATTTTCGTTACTTGCAATGAACTTATGTTAAATTGCCACGTTTTTATTGAAAAATTTGATTAGAAACAAAAATAATTATAAAATCACTAAGTGTTACAAGGAATCGAATTGGTCGGATATAGACTTTATGATCACTTAAACCATATAGCCAAATAGATTTACTAAATGTTGGATAACAAATTACAGAATATAAAATAAATTTCCAATCATATAAAATACGGTGATCTCTCAACCACAACAAAAATTTATTAAATGAATAAAACTCTTGATCAATCACTATTTTAGAAAATAGTGAAATTGATCAATGATATTATTTAGAAGTAATATTTAAAGCATGTTTATGTCGAATAAATATTCGAAGATATATGCATATATGTACATCTTGGCGCCGTACCGGCTGTTTGGCGATTTCACGTCAATAATTTAATAGAATAACTACATATGTATGTATGTATGTATGTATATGTATGTACATATATACATATATAAGGCATAAGTTTGCATTTTGATTCTGATAATGAAATTGAAAAGATTCAAGCTATGTTTTAAAATATATATGTATAAATTATTAATCAGAAAAAATACATTTTACTAAACAAAAATAAAACATAGACTAAATTGCAGAATTATCGAAACATAGACAAAACACCAGTGCATTTAAAACTTTTTGTTTACGAAAATATGGTAAGAGTGGAAGAGATAGAACGTAAATTACATTAACTACATCGTAAACTACAATATATTAAAATAAGAACAGATATATTAAAATAAGAATTGTTTAAATAAAAATTTTAAATAAAAATGTGTTTTCCTGAATATTGAAAATTCCGATTCGAACTTAAACAGTTTTAAAGTCACTGAACAAATCGGCACATTTTTGTGGGCAAATATTTATATAAGGTGAAGTTGTGTATGAAAATATTTTTCACCACTTCTCTCACACACAGGAATTTATGATTTTTAAAAAACAATATTATGAAATATATGACATTTGGTTATTTACATATTACTGTATATATGTTATATATTAACATATAAATATGTATATAGTTAAGGTTATACTTCATAAGTTTATTCAAGATGTTCAACTTATTTTTAATAATCATTTTTTACAAAATTATCAACGCATTATAGTAGAAATTTTGTAAATTCAATATTATTTTCAAATATGAAACATGGCTATGTCCGTCTACTTACTTACTTATGTGGCCATAACAACCCGTTACCGAGTTTCGGCGTGACGCAGCATGTTATGTCCGTCACTAATATAAAATCCACACTATTGCAAATTATTCATTCAAAGTAAAGCTTCATCTCAAGTCCTATATCTTACATAAAATTCTTACTAACATTATTTAAGTTTGTTAGAGGTTTAGCAGCTTGATTGACGCATTTACACCGGGTCAAATAATCAGTTACATAAGCACAAGTAAGTAAAATGGCACTTAACCGAATATTTCAATGCATGTAATGTACGCATGCAGTAAATTTAAGTATACATAATTAATATAAACATATGTCTTATTTAAAAATTAATTCAGTGTATTGGCAAAAAATCTATTTCGAGTAGAAAATGATGGTAATAGTGAGGATATATTTACATCCAATCAAATTTTTTATATTTAATCAAGTCAAGTCTTGAGCTGACAGCTGTTTTGGACACCATCATATATCCATACACAGTATTTGTTGGGAACATCTATAAATAATTTAACAATATTGTAAACAAAAAACATATAATCAAGTTACCAAAATAAGTAAGTAATTTCGGTATCACCACATAGCTACAATATGCAAGTCGATATTACAGTGTGGCTGGACTTAAGTGAATATCATTTAACACTAAAAAAGTACAAGTCAAAATCACAAAAAAGTGATAAGTTGTAGCATAGCACATTCAAGACAAAATAACATAAAAATAAATTTTAAACTTCAATTTGCACATGAACAAATACTCAGTGCTTATAACATCTAAGATATTTTTTTCTTACTTTTATGTCGGAAATCAAAATTAAACAGATTCTATTATTTTCTCCTATTTGTATTTCGATATAAATATTAAAGTGCTTTATTCTTCGCATGGTAGATTACATCAGCTGATTTCTTACGTCACAACTAATCCAGAACTTAATCGCTTATTTATTATACAAAATCTACAGAAAATTCATGGGAAGATATAGAAAATAATTTGGACATTGTTTACTCTTTTGAAAAATTGTTTTGTGAAAGTTTAATTTGTTAGGAAACCCAATACTAAAGATGAATTCTTGCACATCAGATATACTCCTTTTTTTTGAAAACAAAAACAAAAAAATTGGATAATGATAAACATATTTTAGATTCGATTGATTTGAAGTTTTTTATATAAGCTTTATCTCTCGTATTGTACGCATAAATTAAAAAAAGCACTTAGTAGACAAAAGTGTTTTAAAACCAAATACTTTACCACCTAAACAATCACAAATATCTGAACAATCTCATTATATTTACACTATCGAGCTTGATTGCGACTAATGTGCAACAATAGGTGGTATTTTTCATATAAAATTTATACATAATACATAAAAAATATCGTGATGGTGTTTAATAATTGTCAGTAACAATCTAGCATAAATTATTAATTATAAGATAATATATAGAAATATTTGCATATTGTTTTTAAATATATTTTAAATTTGTTTACATTTAAATAGTGTACAAATTGTTTATAAATATCATAATAGCAATTAAATTTGAAGGATATTAGCAATATGTAAGAGCTATTATATATAAAATTAAACTGCAATAATGGAATTTTGCATATTGAATACAAAACGCCCACGTTACAGTAATACTGAACACAAGTGTGGTGTGTAAGTAAACCCAACACTCTTGTTGGAAGATCGTGGGGTGTAAAATGTTTTATTCTGATAAAGGCAGCTTATGCTTTCAGTTGCTACGGAGCACACATCGATAAAGTTTTTGTTGCGGTAGTGAGGATAAGTGTAGAGGGTGCGTTTAAAACTTAATATTCATTCTTTTAATTTTTGTTAAAGTGAAGAAGTTTATAACTGTAAAGTGAATGGTTCTTGGGAAGAACGAGAAATAAAAAAAAGTAAGTTAAATGTAATAAAACAAAAAAAAAAACAGTTTCCCGCGATTCCGGCTACAAGCCGGCAAAAAAAACAACGTGATATGCAAGGAATTAATGCATTAATAAATGCTGTATTTTTATGTACTTATATATGTACTTATATATGTACTTATATATGTACTTATATGTACTATGTATATACATATATAGTTTATATAAACCTATATATCATGTAGAGTTGCTTTCTTGGTGCGGATTTCTCACATATTTTTAGAAACGATTGCAACCACGTGTTGCTAGGACAAATAAACAGATAGGAAGTATGGTTGTGTGAAATGGAATATCCCACAACTCTCCTGAAATATTAAAGATGGCTGCACACCCAGTGCAGGTGTGCAGACTTGTTGTAACACGTCTATTTTGGTTTTAGAAAATGCAATTAAGTTTCTGTGAATTCATAGTAAACATTAAAATCGTTATTATAGACCAACGTGATATATCTGGTATTTTTGATAATAGAATATAAAATAATAAAGACAATAAAAAATGTTTTATGCAGTAGCTTGCTGCAATAACTCCAATTAATCGAGTTTGTTACATTACATACTACTCTATTCAGTTATAAAAATTGCTTAATTTTTTGCAACAGCGTCACAGATATTTGTATTGTCGACTAGGCATAAAATGTATAGATACAAGAAATATTTTTTAGAGATACTATTATTTATCTATTTTATCCATACTATTATTTATCATTTTATCCATATTATTATTTCAGAAAAAGTTTGGCGTGGAAACTTCTATCAATAACATTAAAAGGTTAAAGTGTATTTCCCAAGAATTATTTATATTATATTCTGTGAAGTTAAGATGATCATTAAGTATGTTATTTAATTTCCAGAACTAACTGTTTTTTACATACCAATTACAGCATTAATCTATCCTAAGTGGATACTTATTGACAGGTAACTTTTGTTTAACAGGAGTGCACATTCAGCTCTTGTGGCTATTTAACAATCCTACTCGTTCAACGTTGTCATCTATTTAATAGTGATCAATTGGTGAATATAACCAGTTGTATCTATTAACAATCGTACATGTTCTCTAGCGGTATGCATTAAATAGCGCCTTACATTAAACAGTTGTGTCTATTTAACAAGAGTACTAGTTCAACAGCGGTATCTATTCAATAAGGTTCTCTGTTCAACAATGTTCGTTCAACAACATTATCACTTCAATAGTGGCCTTGATTAGACAAGAATTTCCGTTCACCATAGATGTTCATTTAATAATAGTGTCTGTTGAATAAGATTATCCTTTCAACTGTGATGTCGGTGCGACAAAAGTGTCCGTTCAACGTAGGTATCCAAATAACAATAGTGTCCGTGTGACAAGAATATGGCTTCAATAGCGGAATTCATTTATTAGTGTTACCTTTTCAACAGTGCAATCTGTTGACGACAAATGTTCGGTCAACAGAAGTGTCTCTTTAATAGCGGTATCTTTCAGCAGGTGTGCCTTTAAAAATGGCATCCTTTTAACAAGTATCCATTAGGAGAATTTTCAGTGTGCATATTGTTCCCTTCATAATTAGTTTAACAGCATAGTTTAAAATACTATTTTTATTTTATTTCAAAATCACTGCATTTAAAAAACATAAATTTAATTAGTATTTTTGTTGTTAATATATGTAGTATGCGCAATGGAGTAGTTCGAATATTCTTTTCTTACTCGCAATATAACCTCTGATGTAAACTACCCTCCTTTGAACCATTCTGTCAGCGTTAAAAGTTGCTGTAAATTTGATAGACTGATTGGTATATTGTGGTCCCGAACGATTTCAGTAGAACCTTTAACCTGAAGTATGTCTCATTTAATTATTCGGTTGATGCTGCAAATAATTGGAACCAGATAAGAGATGGACGGCCAGTTTTGAATTCCAACTAATAAAAACTCAATATCACAAAAAGTCTGATATCAAATCTTTATCTTACCAGATAAGGCCTAAATTTGTTTATATTAATTTAAATTTATCGGAATAATTACTTAATATTAATTGTTATATATATATGTATTGCAGATGTCGGCGGAAATTTCAGACAGTGACAGCGAGTGGCAACTCTTGGAAAAGCAAATCGATTCAGGTAGGTGTCATGAAAACTATTCGATATTTTTTTAATTATTCACTTCATCTGGCTGTTATGTTTTAATAAACTAACGACGACCAACCGCTGAGTCAGTCGATAAGTAATAATAAGCATAGCTTAAATGCATATCTCGTATTAAATTTTATATCTGTTTTTTTGTAAATATTAAATATATATAAATATTTGTGTAAATAATATACTTCAATATAAATTGCATGTACTCATTTAATTAATAGTTTTCAAAATATGTTAATTAGTTATATACAATTAAACATATATCATTTATATATCATTTATATGTCTGTCCATATCAAAATGTTACTCATATATCCATTTTATGTATTAAGCAGAATTGAAGTAACTTTAATTTTCAAGAACATATTAAGTATTTGTTTATATTGAATTTCGAATAGTCTGCATTTTTTTTTATAGATAAAATAGGGCGATCTTGAAATTGGTGATATATACGTTTTGTTTAAATTTATAATTGAACACGATTTTATGGCAGTTTGTCGCAATTTTAAGGATAAACAAAAAATTATTGAAATTTTTATGTGCATTTTTCTGCAATACTATTGAAAGTATGTGATATAGCACATTATTGTGTTTGTCTATTTTATCAGTATCTTTATTTCTTAGATTTAAGTTTTAAAGCCTACATACCTTGGAAGCGGGATATTAGTCCCAAGTCAAATAGGTACAATTAAGCTCACACCAATTACAAGATTTATAAATAGTCTAAAATTGTCCTAGTTGGGCCTTTAGGCGTACAATAGATGTTTTAGGTCGGGGTGCTTCAATAGCCTATTACTTAAATAAAAATAATACCTTTTTTGTATTTTTAATATTTTCTATTTTCTATAAATGTGGGTATAAAGTCCGAGCTCCAACGCAATTTAAACTTAATCAATAGCAACTTAACACAGTTTAAAATCAATTAAAATATATTTTCTACTTTAGTTGATTTCATAAATATATTTATGGTATACATGCATATATAATATACATATACACGCTATTTGTTCCATTTTTTCTATACGTCCTCCTAAGATTCGATCTTTTATGCTCGTTTTGAGCTAACTGACTGTTAAAAGCACTGGTCTAATGGTTTGGGATATAATTCCATTTAAATCAAATACGAAAATTGTTTCGATGACCTTCACTAGATTAAAATTACTCCATTTTTGATTACGTCCTGTTTCATATATAGTTTATGAAACAGGACTGCAGAGTCATTGTGCTTCACCTATACATCATATTAAAACTATCAGAATTTCAGACCTGAGTAAAATAATTCGTTAAACGAGATAAAATCTTTTAGATATTATCTCATCTATTTGCTTGTAATGAGCAATTTAGAGTCCATATATTCAAAGATCATATACACCTTTTACTTGCAATCAGGTTTTTGTTTAGTAAAAACCTGATCTTCGGAAAACTGTCTTAATCGTGCAATGTTGTTAGGTTCCAGTTTTCTTATGGATGTAAAGTACATTCTTTTTATTGTTCCACGCTTAACCTAGTTCCGTTGATGTCCGCTTAAAAAAGTTTTTACAGTATAATTTTTAATAGTTTATTTTAATTGAAAACACAGTTTTCTACGAGATTTGCTTTTGGGGTAAAACAATTCGTATAAACTAGAACATCGTTGCCGGCATTTTTGCCATTTATTTTATATTAAACTATAATATATATATAAAGTAAACTTAATTTATAAAATGTGATTTATTACAACAACAAAAAATATTTTCAGCAATTTAAATAATGATCCCGATGATTTGACTTGGATATGTTAAGTTTATGGTACCTCTTGATTAATTAAGTTTATCAAAGATTGAAGAATGAAATGTCCGTAGCGACGCTGCAGACATAAAAATTTTCTTAATGCTTTCTGATTTTTTTTCATTGTTAGCGCAATTATGACTGGACATATTAGATTAATTGTTTCAGTAGTAAGTCTCTCAACTTAGTCAACTTACACGATTGAGATTTTAAACAATTTTTCATGTGGTTAAAAAACCAATTTAACTCATGTATGTACGAATTTTATTTCGTTTTTTTTTCTTTTTTTTTTATCAGGTAATACTTGTTTATTAAAGAAGTGTACCTCACCAAAAAACGGGTTGAAAAGTTTTAATGTAATAATGAAAAAATTTTATATGCTCGTAATACTCAAAAGAGGGGTATCTGTAAATAGAGTTTTGGGTATATATAAAAACATATGTCTGCATTAAATATATGTATGCTCTCATATATTAACATATTTGAAAATATAAATGCAAGTACATTTTTCAAAAGTTTTTATTCAGATGCTTTCATTTGGAAGAACCGAACCCTAAAAAATAAAATTAATGAATTCGAGATCTTATTACCACTGACATAATATTCGCTACTATTATGTATTTTAGTTTCAATAACCATATATATATATATTTATGATCTTATAAAAACATCGTTTAGCGTGACCTATCTATTCCAATAACGATTTTAAAATCCTGTGAATTTTTGATGTAATGTTGAATGTATACCATATAACCAGTATTTCCCACTAATATCTTTGGCCGCTGTTTTATCTTATCAAACGAGAAAGCGTGTGTTTTTTTTAGAAGTAAATAACAGAATAAAGTCAATACATTTGGACAATTGACCGTTATGCTTAAAGTTGAAGTCGCAAAAAATTAGAAACTACTGAAAATATTAACAAAAAATCTATATAGTAATGAAAGTTATCTATTTCACCTCGAAATTTTTGGTTTTTTTGATGAATTCAAGATAGTCGAGTTAATGATAACATGAACATTGTTAATACTCAGGACATCATAATCCAACAGTCTTAATTTAATATTTGAAAATGATGGACAATAACAGAAGAAATGTACTGTGCATCCTAATTGGAATTTGTTTTCCGTTCTTATATTTCTTGTTCCTTGTAATGTCATCTACTTGACAGCATCAGACAGCATTTTAGAAATTAGCCAAGATATGGAATATCAAAGAAAAGTATATCCGAAAAAAAATTTTGATCGGAATATCTCGCTAATATCGTGCTAATCATATACCAGTTTTCAGGTATATGAAAATTATTTTAAATTAAGTGTTTGATATATTTTAGTGTTTCGGTTCGAAAATATGTTTATTCATAGAAAATTTGTTAGAAACTACTAATTGAATACAAATTTTTCAGAAAAAATGTTGACTACTTAAATAAAAATCTTTAATAATTTTTTGATATTAACAATAATAAAAATACATTAATTTGAAATATGTTTTTTGAATGTAGGATTTCTGGATAGTCTTCTAACTGAACCAATTAGTCATGCAGAAATTGATAACGAGATGAGAAAAGCAATGGCCGAATGTGAGAGTAAAGACATGAATGAATGTAAAAGGAAAAGAAAGGTTATGTGCGAAAAAAAAGCTAATAATAAAGCAAAAATCAAAACGCCGAAAAATGAAAATTATCTAAATAAGTCAAATACTAAAAGCAAATTAAGTGACAGAAATGTGAAAGAACAGAATAAGTCAAATAAAAAAACATATTTATACGATCCAGTCGCAGATGATGATACTCCTTGCTGCAGCAAGTCACTAAAACAGTATGGAATGCATAAAGTTACAGCCCAGGTTGAAGACTACATGCCTGAAGAGCCCAAAAAGAAACCAAGAAAAAAGAAAACTAATGTGCCCAAGCCAATAAACAGTTTAGAAAAACTTCCAAAATGGTTAAAGCATGTAGCACAGGAAGTGTACATTGATTTGAAAGAAGATCGTGGAGATATTTTTCATATATTTTATGAATCGGATATGGTAATTGTTCTTCAAGAACATGCTCTCAGCTTCTACAAATATAAAGTAGAAAAAGGTTCGTACTCCTTCAAAATGAATGGGGTATCTAATAATTTACAAAAAGTGGGGTCCTGGGTGAATTTATTTACATCCTACTCTTCACAAAACATAGGTAAACTATTTATTGCAACTTATATATGTATTTTTACACATAGCTGTGTACATATGTATTAAATATTTTCTTTAATTTAAGGACAGAAAATTGGATCATTTTTTTCAAAATGCTTTTGTCAAAATGTTCAGAATTTCTGTACATACATAGAGTTGCGAGCTAAACAAATGCTTCACCCCTCGCGTCCAAATCTAATTGAAATTTATGCCAACATCTATTACTTATCTCCAGGTCATGAATATGTGAAGCAACAGCAATCATTAATGGACACATTTACGTCGTAAGTTAATAAATAAAATAATAATTCCAGATCTTATTATGGAGATAATTTTTTTTAAATCTCATTATTTCTTATCTAATCATACTTATACATGTGTTAATTTTTATTAAATATATAGACATATTATAAAATGATGTTATGAAAGACCTAAGATATTGAGACATATGAAACGAGTATATTAATGACTTTATTTTACGATTATCATTACTTAAATCTAATACATTATAATATATAAAGCTGTTTCAGAGAATAAGTAAGTTTAGTAAAATAAGATAGTAATTCGTCTTTAACTCACATCCGTCCAAGGATTTGTTTTGTTGAAATTTTTGGTCAAAATTTTATATATTGGGTATATTAGGCCAAAAATCACGAATCAAAAAATTTTTGCAATTTTTAGTTTTGGACAAAATTGGTGTTCGTGAGTGCTTAAGTGAATTTTTTACTTTTCGATTTTGACATAATATATTAAGAGAAAAACAACAATTACTTGAAAACTATATGCGTTTCTTATTTTTAAATTAAAGTAAGAGAACTTACTCTGACCTTCAAATTTGGTAGGGCGCAATATAAGAATTATTTCCAAGAGCACTGATGATGGGTATTTGGCCATACTTGAAACATACTGTATGGTTAGACAAAAATCCAATTAATTAAAATAATATAAAAATAATTTTTGTTGTTGTAGTTGCATGTAAGCGACGAACAAAGCAATCCAATTTCCATGCATAAACGATGGCTGAATTAGACATACTTAGCCATAAGGGCCAGTAGCACTTTTTGGATTCAATTGCAATATGGTAATTTGAAGTAGTTTTTAATCAGCTATGGAGTAATTAATAAATCCATATAATTTAACAATTTTTCCAACCATATATTTTTTTTCTTTTTGCAATCTCTTTGCTACAACAGTCGGTTGATCTGATTGAAATTAGTTGCGACTGCGACTTCGCGATTATTTGAATCAACAATAAATGAGAATTTTGTTTGTGCTATCAAACTTAAAATCGTATTTGATCCTTCCCAATTGCCTTCCAGTTTTCAGTTCTGCACCACCAATTTTATTTGCTCTGAAGGTGACTGTTGTACATATTCCTTTTTTAGACAGAAGACATATGAGGTGAAACGATGTGAAAAAATGATCGAAATATGCTATATTTTTACTATTTTTTAAAAGTAGACCAAAAGTAATGTTTTATTAAAGCTTAATTAGTAAGGGGTCGGGGCTTGTGAAGTAAAGATTTTTATAAAGTTAAAACTTCATATATTCAAAGTAATGACATATATAAACTCTAAACTTTTTCTAATATAAAAAAAATTCATGAAAAGTGGTAAAATTTATTGTAAGATTAATCGAACGTCGGTTGGATATAGGTTAAGAGAGTTGTTTAGTTACTTCCAAAAGTTATAATAATAATAATGATAAAACCAACTGCAAATAAGGATTCTAATAGTTAATATAGAATAAATGCCTGAAACTAATCAACTAATACGTTTTTATTTGTTACACTTATCTTAGAGACATGATTTTTCTAAAATCTATCTTATTATGTAGAACAATTTAATCTTTCTCTCAATTTAATCCCAAACACATCCCTCTTAAACGTATAAAAGTTCTCCGATCGAAAAATTTTTCACTGTATAAAATACAAATGTGTTTTAAGGCAATTATTAATGTTATACATAAACTATTAAAAATTTTATAGAAATATTAAAGATATAAGATTTACGGCAATTCCTGGTACATGTGGCCTTATAATGTCATGGTATGATCCCAATGGTTTAGGTTACAGTAAGATTTCCAAATACAATATATCTAAACAACAGAATGTACGGGATTGGAAAAAGTTGGAAACCGTTTGTTTTGATCATTTATTACTAGAGCTACAATACTTATCACGTAAGTATTGGTATTATTTAACAATAAAAATACTAACAATCAATATTTATAGAAGACTATATTGTTGGCCTTGGCAAAACAGCTGTTACCATCTGGAACCATACAAACTTTGATATAGTTTACAGTTGTGATTTGATGATGGACGTGGGCACCAATTTAGGTGCAATACATTTTTCTCCAACTTTAGTTGTAATTTTCCAACATATTACAAATGAGGAGAAGAAACCACAAGTAATAACAATTTATCTGTATTTAATAGAAAATACGTTTTTGATTAAAAAATGTCTTCAATTATCGTGGAACGATTTCGGTTGTGTGAAAAATACAACAAAAACAAAAAATTATATTGTTCTACAGGGTAACACAAAAAAAGAGCTTTGGATATGTTGTTCTAATCCGAATTCCGTCATTTTTGTTCCAAAAATTGCAACCGAGAGACACTTCTATAAACCAGAATATGATTTTGTAGTTAGGTATAAAGGCCAGAAGATATCAATTCTTACAACAGCCGACATCTTACGAAAATTAAATATTTGTGATTATAATAGAAGTAATTATTAGTTTATTAATTTAATATATATTTGATTAATTCAACATATTTCGTATTTATTTATGATCATTATCATGATTTTTTTCTATCACTAATTAATTTTAACACATGCAAGGATTTATAAAAATAAAAGAGATTTAATAAATATATTACAATTGATTACATGTATACACATACGTATATACACATAGACATATTCATTCAGCATTATATATACGATGTAATTCTAACTACTAAAATAAATCGTGACGAATGAGGGCTTAACGTATTGCAAATAATTTATTCTCTTATAAGAAATTTAGAAAAATCATTTGTCATTAAGAAATATATATATAAATATATATCATATAATTATAGATTCATTCAACATTATATATACGATGTAATTCTAATTACTAAAATAAATCGTGACGAATGAGAGCTTAATGCGTTGCTAATAATTTATTCTCTTATAAAAAATTTAGAAAAATCATTTGTCATTAAGAAAAATGACCATATGTTATTAAAATAATTATGGTAATAACTATATAATTAAATCAATTTGTTCTAAATAATATGCAGGAACTTGGCTAGAGACTTAGTTAAATTCAGAGAACTGACATACCTACTTAAATAATATGCAGTTATGGAAAACTATTATTCTGTTCATAAACTTAACTAAATATAAATCGATTCCAAAGTTGCTATAAAAATTATATAGCCCTACCGTTAAATTTAAACAATTATAACAATTAAAGATTTCTAAGATAAATACAAAATTTTATATATAAACTTGTTTCTTATATAGAAAGAAAAATATTTAATAAAATTGTAAACAATTTTTTTTGTATTTAATTTAAATAATTTATATTTAATAATTTTATTTAATAATTTAATAATGGCTAAATATTTAGCCAATTTCAGAGAACTGACATATCTATTTAAATAATATGCAGTTATGGAAAACTATCAGAAAACTATCAGAACTGTTAATAAACTTAAATAAATATGTATCGAAATCAAAGTCTCTATAAAAATTATATAGCCCTATAGTTAAATTAAAACAGTTATAATAAATAAAAAGATTTCTAAATACAAAATTTTATATATAAACTTGTTTCTTATATAGAAAGAAAAATATTTAATATTATTGCAAACAATTTTTTGTATTTAATTAAATTAATTTTTATTTAATAATTAAATTAAATTAATTAATTAATTTAATAAATTTAATTTAATAAATTTAATTTAATAAATTAATTAATTGATTTTTCATTATTTGTAATATTTTGTTTTATAATACAAAAGTTTATATATAAACTTTATATATAAACTTTTTATCATATATATAAAGAAAAATATTTAATAAAATTGTAGACATAAATTTTTTGTATTTATTTTTATTTTTTTAAATTTAATTAATTAGTTTAATAAATTTAATTTAAGAAATAAATTAATTGATTTTACTGTCTTGTTTTATTTGATGTCTCATTTTATATTTTTTTGGATTCAATTTTTTTATTTTATTTTTTTTTTTTTTGTTATATTTTTTTTTATATTTTAGTTCATATTCTATTAAATTTTTTTGTTTTTTTTTCTTATTAACATTTTTTTTATTATATTTTTTTTTTTTATTTATTATATTTTTTGTTTTTTTTTTTATTTTTTATTACATTTTTTTTGTTTTTTTATTACATTTTTTTAGTTTCTTCTTTTATTATATTTTTTTTTGTTTTACTTTTTTATATTTTTGTTTATAAAAACATTATATTTGTTTTTTATTTTTTTTATATTCTTAGTTTTTTTTTATTTTTTTTATATTCTTAGTTTTTTTTTATTTTTTTTATATTCTTAGTTTTTTTTTATTTTTTTTATATTCTTAGTTTTTTTTTTTTTCTTTGCAATAATTCTTAGCATTTTTTTTATAATATTTTTATAATAATATTTTTTATAATATTTGTTGTATTTTATTTTATTTTTTGCTTTTATTTTTTTTCGGTTTGTTTTTTTCGGTTTTCGATCCGTGTCAAAATTTTTCATGTATTTGTATACAGTTTTTTCGCCCCATAATTAAAATACTTCATAAATCATTCTTTTAAAATGCATAGTTAATGCATATATTTAATAAAAAAAATTTCTGCTTACATAAATACCGAAATATTTTTGAGCTTCTTGCTCAAAATTTCTTAAGTAAATTTAAATGTAAATTAAAAAAGAAATAAAACTTAAAAATCAAGTTCAAAAATTTTCATTGTCGTATGAAACTTTAGCACTAAAACGAAAACATGTTGTTGTGGTTTCTTGAGTTAGTGCTATTGCACACTTTTATTCTTTTGTGACTGGAGGGCTTATCCCTACCTAACACTAGGCTTTAACTATGCTGGAATTCATATCGTTTATTTATCTTTTAATTGATGACGGACCGTAGGTCAGCATATTTTCCTGTGGGTCCTGAGGGTCCGCCCTAACTTGAGATTTGTTAAGGCGGGGTTGGGCAGCGTATCAACTTGTGTGAATAATTTTAGGGCTCCGTCACTGATATATTTTTTCACTGAGTCGATCCTTAGATCTTCGTGTATGTATGTAGTTCTAATATATCATGGAATCTTAAATAGTATTCTTATAGCCAGGTTTTGTGCTATCTGAATTGCTGTTTAGCAGTATTTGAGGTTTTACTGTATGCAACACATCCGTACAGATGCACAGATATCAAACTGTATGGTGTTGAACCGAGATAAACCGATATATTTTTTTCGGTTCGGTTCCGGTTTCCGCTTTAGCAAAAATATCGGTTTTTTCAAGTTTTTGGTTCGGCTCCGATTCGATGTCGTGTGTTCAGAACCAAGTAATTACAGAAAGCGGTTACAGAAAGGCTAAATACTCGATATTGAATAATATGGTCTTAAACATTAAGTCAATTCCTAATTCATTTTTATCTCCTCATACTTCAAGTCTAATGAAAACTGTTCGACACATTTTCACCAACTCATTTACTTGTCTAACATTTTATATTTATTTTTTTTATTTTTATTGGTGTACAATATTTTTATTTTTTCGATTGAACTTAAATTAAATTTTTATAATAATCAATCAGCTAAAAAATACTTTTCAGCAAAAATTTCCTAATTTGCTTAGGAGGCAGTGAAGTCAGTCAATAAAAGCCACAACAGTAGCTCGCGGCATAGACCACCACAATCGAAACTCTTAAGGTTGCCAGCCATATATACAAAATAATCAAATTTTATTTTTATTAAATTAGTAGACTTCAGATATTCTGTTTATTTATTCAAATTTGTTTATTCTAAATTTACTCATATCTAAAGTAGCTTAACTTAGCCTATAGTATATTCGAAGGCATGCCTTTGAAGTTAGCAAAATTTCACAAAAATATACAAAATTTTTTAAAAATAAATAAATTAATTTGGTTGAAACGAAGCAATGCCTGAGTGAAAAGTCTGCATGTGTTCCGGTTTCAAGGGGATGGCATTTTTCATTGCTCTACAGCTTCTAGGAGGTTTCATCAAAGTGTTTTAATATTTCCGAAATTACATTTTAACAGCACTTAAGATACTTTTCACGCACGGCGAAGGCGTATGCAAAATTAAAAGAAATGCTCATGTCCTTATTAAATATTTTTTTGTTGGAATTTTACGCCAATTTTCCATTTTCCCATGTCGGGCATATAATGTAAAGTCTACGAATGTGAGTAGTTAAATAAGTTTGACAGCTCCTCCACAATCATTTTGACATACTGTCTGCTAAAATTTTGAAACTTTTGCGATTTGTTGAATTTTATTACCGCAAATGGAGAAGGGAATGAATACTTCGATTACTTCTAAATTAACTTTATGAATTATTTTTAAAAAGGGAAGACAAATAGAAGAAACCTGGAACGTTTTAAAAAAACTTCAAAAAATCTGTATTTGTCATATCGATTTTTGAAATTCTCAGTGACATTACACGATAACTTCCATAACTCGACCTTCTCTAACTCCAATTTCTCTATAACTCGAATTAAAATTTTGTTCCGTGTCGATAGAAATATGTGCAAGTGCATTCTATAAGTCGAATTTTTGTTTTAAGTATGAATGTTTTAAATATTGTGTTAGGGGAAGTCCCTTTATCCAAACCAAATGTTTAATTTTTTGTTTCTTATGTTGCTTCTTTGTGCAAATACCAGTCGCTGGCAGCGTGAATTAAAGTAAATAAAATAACTTCGAATGCTACTCTTAACGCTTAGGTATATTGAGCTTGACAAATTTGTACATCAAGCTTTTACTACAACTGATGATCACTATAAGAGAATGAAAAAAGTGGAATCTCTTTTTACTGAAAATAAGATAAAAATTAGAGTCATAAACCCTAATTTGTGAATATTTTACTTTACTATAACTTTTGTGCTTTATTTGATTACAAATAAATAAACATTTTAAAATGTGATTCTAGTTTCTTTCAAAACAAAAAAAAATAAAAAAATTCTCTAACTCGAAGTCTTCATAAGTCGAATCTTTTCTTTGCAAAATTGGACTTCGAGTTATGGAAGTTTGACTGTATATTCTTATTATATAGACTGAACTCATCAAAGAATAGGGAACGGATACCTGCATAAAAAATTTGAATGCACTTTTAAATATGATCTATGTAAACTAAAGCATGTTACATTAGGGTGCCATTAAGGTATATGGGCAATTTTTTTTTCGTAAAATCGGTTGACGGCACCCCCTAGATCGGTTCATTTTACTAAAAAAATAGTCTGTGTAAAATTTTAGATCAATTAGATAAGTGGAAATGGTGCCCCAAGAGCCTCAAAGATTGAAAAATAACGATTTTTTCCATAAAATTCATTTTTGATTGTTTATATCTCCGACATATTTAATTTTACATAAAAACTGTCTTCCTAAAAAATATAGATCTATTAAAAATAAACAATTCACTCATTTTTCTGTATTTCTAATAGTTATTGAATAAAAGCAAATACAAGCTGAAATCCCCTTATTAAATTTAGGTAAGTTCAATGACTGAATTGTGAATG